TTAAAGACATTTGAGGGTTTTTGTTTTCTTTTTGCAAAACAAAAAGAAAGGATGTTGCGTCCACCACATATAAAAATCTATTTAAAAGATGTTCGAAGATTATAGAGATAAAGAATCGCGGTCTAAATTTGTTTGGTATCTTAAATAGTGGTATAAGTTAGTTTAGCATATTAGACCACTCATGATTATGGTTTAGAATATACGACATATGGTTTAGGTTTTAAGACTTAGGATATAATGGTTTATGATTTATATCTTATGACCTATGATTTTAACTTGTGGGTTATAAATTAAGGTTTATGGTTTATGGCTTATAACTCCTACTCAATTGCAAGTACAAACTCATCCATGAACATCACAATAAACATCTCCCAATTCATCGTAACATGCTCTACAGGCATGTAGTCAGCGGTAACAAACTTCCATTAGTCCTTCGCTACCAAGCGAAGCAGGTTCAATGCGAACCGAACCCTCAAATTCTCCGGACATGAGCAGGTATTGATACATCCCTCAACATCAGAGATCCATCTCATAGCAACAATTAGATCATGGGTCTCATCAAACTCAGGTGGCTTCATGTTGGTGAACTCCCGATACCACAATGAATCACCCCCTGTGGTCTCGCAGCAGTGAGAGTTGTGGTGGCTCTGGTTGCGACAACAATAGCCTCAGTAACATCGTCATAACGCTAATCAAATGTATCAATCAGTGTGGTCATAACAAACCCAAACATCTTCAGGATAGCCTCTCGGATTGCCGCGGCGACCTCTGCGGTAACAATCCTGTGAATCTCATCATCACTGGCACTTGGCCTCTCAGGGTCGCTGGAGCCTGAACCTCGGGTAACCACCATATTGAAATACATAAGAAAATCATTAGCACAAACTAAACACATATATTGACTCTCATAGCCCTACAAGATCTCTAGTCCCTCGAGGTTATTTCCCGAGCCGCATATGAATCCGGTGCTTTCAGCAGTATGGGCCCAATACTATCTTCTACACCAATCTGTATTCATCTCAGGTCATACCCTCGAGACCCCAAAAACTCTACCTCCTCATATCAATTATGGACTCACCCTACTGGTTCCTAAGAACCTCAAACATACGTCTAGATACTAGTTCTAGACCACTCCCAACAATACTCTACCTCATGAGATCTCCGCTGCCCTCGTCATTTGCCTCACGTATGGCAATTGTACATAGTACGATACTCGACAGAAATTCGAATAAACGATCCTACCTCGAATCCACAACCAAACATGGAACAGGAAGAAAGGCTAAATTAGACATTTTAAGGCTATAAAATCCTAACTATGTACAACTCTAAAGCATACGCCAAACAAATAATTAAGGCAAATTTGATCCCATAAGGAATGAATTCCTATGCTAAGGCATCATTAATCAGACAACATTTATACTTTTTTCAAAAATATTCCTTAGCCTACACCTAGCTAGCATGCAATCCTATTTGCTCATAATACAACATGTCTGCTCTGCAATACTAAAATGAAAATGAGGTATTTTGGGAAACTGCCGCTCGAGCGATGGTCGATTGTAGACACTATACTAAAATGAAAATGAGATATTTTGGGAAACTGCCGCTTGAGCGATGGTCGATTGTACACACTGTTTCTGTGGGGTTTTTTTTCCACTTGTAAAAAGTCTTCATTCCTTGTTAAGTTCTTAAAAATGTTCAAACTCTCAGTTTGAGTTTGGAATCACGCAATGGTTCATCCAAATCCCTCAAACCAGTGCTCTGATACCAAATTGTAACATCTCAAATTTTAGACCAAAATTTTCATTTTTAAAACTTCTAAAAACATAGTTTCACAACTAGATCAATTACAAGTCATCTCAAAACACAAATGTCATAGTTATTAGAGTACATAAAAGATCATGTCCCAGTAGTAAATTTCAAGTGCGTGTGTACAATCAAACCTTCGCCTTCCCGCATTCCTGCGAAGTACCTGCCATATACAAATCAACAACCGTAAACAAAAGGTTAGCGAGTTCCCTAAGATAAGACATATAACATAACATAAGTAAGCATTTATGGGTTATTTGCAACCCTGAGACTATCAGCAATCCCAGTGAGCTAACAACAAGCTCGTGAGGTTATCTGCAATCCCCCAGTTGGCTATAAGCAGCCCCAGTCATAGGCAAATATTATATCAACACATAACACAACATAACATCTAGACCCAACTGGTCATAATATTACAACTATCCTACCATACATGTAAGAGTAAGTGAGGAGACTTACCTGATACTGATGACACAAAAACCTAGCACCCGAACTGCCGGATCTAGACTCTGCCCAGTTAAAAAAAAATAATTAACCTTAATTAGATTAAGGTCCAAACCACTCACGAGTCCAAAATCCACAGTTAAACCTACTAAGGGCAAAAGGACCATTTTGTCCCTCCCTAGGTCCAAAACCTTAAACTTTGACCAAAAGTCAAAATCCGCAAAAGTCAACAGAAAGTCAACACCCAACGAGTACGCTAGGTGTACTACCCCTAACATTGGGTGTACAACCTGACAAAGCGTGCGACGGAGCATCACCAAGGTATGCTGCGTGTAACTGGGAGTATGCACGATGTACTCTACGAACTCCCATTTCCTTACTATTGGTCTTAATCCGTTAAGACAACCACTCCATCCATAGATCTGACTAATTTAAGACCTCTTAATCCATAAAGTCATGGGGTTTAAGCCTTTGCATGGCTAGAAGAGGCTAAAACATCATTTCATCCATTCCAAGGTACTTTACTCGTGCATGGGGGCAAAGGAAAGATCAAGCAAACATTTTTACCAACCTAGAAGCCCAAAGATGCATAAAAGGATAGCTTAGACTCTCTGGAGATTCTCAATTTCAAAAAGGTCCAAACTTTGGGGGCTGCATAAAACTTACACTAAAGAGATCTAGAAGAACACTAGCCAATGTATAAGATTTATACCTGAAAGTGATGCACGAAGCTGGGAGGTTTTTGGATCTCTAAGCTTGATTGCACCTTCTTCTTCTCTAATCTTCTTCTTCAACTACAAGGGCCAAGAATCACTCAAAACTTGCAAAATCACATTCACAAGCCACACACACGAAATTAGGGTTTTAGAGAAGGTTGGAGGCTAATAAGGGTGGCTAGAAATGAGACCATCATGTTCTATTTAAAGGGGGCAAAAGAATATTAGGGTTTGCATATGATCCTAGTACGCCCAACATACCAAGTGGTACGCCCAGCATACTAGGTGGCCTCCGCGATCCTACATGGTGCATGAGTATGTTGCGCGTACTCATGCGTACGCCCCGCGTATTGACTTGCCAACCTTTCACATATAAGGACTAATTTTGACATATTAAGGAAAGATTAAAGAATGATAATTGTACCTCATTCGGGATGTTACAAAACCAAGTATAAGGAATCATGTGATCTCAACAATCTTGTTGCTAATATGCAACTTTCATCAGATGTTGATTCTTGGAATTGGAAGGGTGACTCAACTGGAGTATTTTCCGTTAAATCTTTAAGGGTTCTAATGGATAGCAAGGGGATTGATGGTGATTTTCTGAATTTGAATGGGTTTCATGGGCCCCCATAAAAACTAATTGCTTCATTTGGCATCTCTTAATGGATAGAATTCCTTTTGCTATGAATCTTACCATGAGAGGGGTAGTCTCTTAACAGATATAATTCCTCTTGCTAGTGAAGATACCGGGTATCTTTTTTTAGACTGCCAGTTCTTGCGGATTGTTTGGAAGTGGCTCCACAACTGGTCTAGCATATTACCTTCCCCTCCTAAGAGTTTATCAGATCTGTCACAAAAGATGTGTTGCTATGGCTTAAGCAAAAAGTTTAAAAGGATGAAGCTTGGTCTTATTTACTCTCCATATGGATGATTACGAAAGCTCGAAATACTCTTGTTTTTTAAAAGATGAGGTGCTCCTTTGTGAAAACGGCATATGAGATTCAATTTATTTCGTACAAATGGTTCAAACATCGTGCCAATCTAAGTTCTCTAAATTAGAATGTGTGGTGTTGTCCTCCTATGCTTGCTTGTAATAATTGTATGTAACTTTCACTAGCATCTTGCTAATTTTCTTAATAAAATATTCCGCGAAAAATGATTTTTTTTTTTTTTTGTGTGTGTGTGTGTGTAAAATACATATCAAAATCAGTGACATGATGCTCATATATTATAGTAGGTGAAGAGGAGAATTCTAAGGGCGGTTTGTTTTGAACTTATCGGGTCCGCAGACTGTTGACTCGATCAATAGTTAGATTGTGTGGTAGAGCTTCAAAAGGGCCGACTCGGTCAACTATTGCCGACCAATGGGCTGACTCGGTCCATGATATCAAAGTAGCTGATTCGGTCCAATATGGTTTCTTCATGTTTTTGCCCCTACATTCGTCCTCAACGACAACGAGCCTCGCCTCCGCTTCTCTTTTTCCTCAATCGCTGAAACGAGAACCCACATGCCACTCCATCTTCACCGGCATCCGAAGACCTACTCTAATGCCGCCACCCTCCACCCTCAATTTTTGAGCAACATCTCCAACCGGTAAGCTTATTTTCTCCCTTTGTGAAATTGTTCTCTCATCTCAAATTATAATTGAAATTGTTTTTCTTCTCCGTGAAATTGAAATCGATTATTTATGAAATTGAGATTGACATCTCCATCTAAATCACAGCCATCAGATTTTATGAACTTGAAATCAATTATCTGTCAAAAATATGAGCTCGTTGATGAACTTGAAATC